ATTGAGAGTTTTCTGGACATTACTGCTTTGGATTTTCTGCAAGCTTTCTGGACGTTGCTGTTTGCGGTTTTATTTTGGCTTTTTTCCCTTTGGACTTTAATCTATTTTATATTCATAATTCAATAAAATGTATCGCATATGTATATTGTAAACCGCTCCGAGCCTTCGGGGAGTGGCGGTATATAAAACTGATAAATCTATATAAATAAAAATGTAACGTTCGTTTGTGGGATTAACAGAACTCAAAAACCACTGGACGAATTGACACCAAATTTGGACACGATACACCTAACAACCCAATTTATGTCCTTCACTCAAAAATAATTGATTTTGTCATTTGGGAGTTGTAGTTGCTGGGATTTATAGTTCACCTACAATCAAAGAGCATTCTAAACCCCACCAACGAGGAAACTGTACACAGAACTCCCATGACCAACAGAAAATATTGGAAGGGTTTGGTGGGCACTGATCTTGAGTTTTCATTTTCTCATTAGGGAGTTGTAGTTGATGGGATTTGTAGTTCACCTACAATCAAACAGCATTCTGAATTCCACCAACGATAGAATTGAACCAAACTTGACACGCAGATCTCTCATGACCAAGAGAAAATACTGGAAGGTTTTGGTGGGCATTGACCTTGAGTTTGGGAGTTGTAGTTCACCGGCATCCAGAGATCACTGTGGACTCAAATAATGATGGATCTGGACCAAACTCTACACATTCACTCAATATGCCCAAATGTGAACACTGGTGGAGTTTGGGGAAAATAGAATCTTGACATTTAGTTGTAGTTGCTGGGATTTATAGTTCACCTACAATCACAGAGTATTCTGGACCCCACCAACGATAGAATTGGACCAAACCTCCCACACAGAACCACCAGAGTGGGCCACAGCAACGCGTGGCAGAGGACGGCTAGTAAATAAAATAAAAATAAATAAATAAAAAGGATTGTATTTTTCCTAAACCAAGGTGTGTTGTATTAATGACAAGAGGGTCCTGTTTCCAGCTCTGGAGTGCAACATTATGTTTGCCAACAGACCCCTACCATTGGGTTCCTTGGGGATCCAAGAGTGAAGGGCAACCCCTTTCCTACCTTATGCGCCATCTCCAGCGGCTCTCCGCCTTTGATCAAGATGCCATTTTGCGCTCCAACGCCGGTCCCCACCATTACCGCGGTTGGAGTTGCTAGTCCCAGGGAGCAAGGGCAGGCGATGCACAGCACGGTAATGGAGGCCTGGAAAGCGAAGCGGATGACCACCTCGGCTTTGGAGATGCTCTTATTGTAACCCTGTGGTGGATGCGGAGGAAGAAAAGGGGTCTCAAGCATGCATTTCCGATAACTTCTGAAATTACACCAAACAGTGATTGGGAAAGGTCAAACATGGCTTAGTATCACATCCCATAGGACACCAAGATTTGCAACAACCTGGAAAAGGCTGTTTTTTTTTAAAAAAGGTTTGGCACAAACCACAATTGTAGTTGTTCTTTCTTTCCAAAACAAATGCTGGGAGAAGCCAACTACAGATTTAGGTGAGGATACAATGCTAAGCTCTAAGCAAGAGTTAAGCCGCTGAGGCTGTTCTGTCGCGCGCTGGGCCTGTAAAGAATTTCCTTTAAGACAGGACGTGCAACCTTTGCCCAGCAGGAAGCCAGGGGGCCCAAGGAGAAGTTCTCAGAGGTTTTCCACCACAAATGTCTTTAGATGGCTTGTGAAGTATAACAAAGTCTTTTATTAATGAACAATCAAACAGAAACTTCTCTTGTCTTCAATAAAGCTAAACAAATGCTTCCAAGCTTTATGCAACTGGTGGCTTCCTAATCTTGTCCACGAAGGACAGGCAACTGTCTTCAATAACTTCTTCTTTACTTTAAAGGAAAAGTCCCCTTTTTAACTTCTCCCAGGCTGACTGTAATCTAACCCTTACTGATGTGGGCTCCGCTACCAGGTCAAACTGCTTCTCGAAGCACCGAGTAATGGAGGCTTAGATCAGTGGTTCTCAACCTGTGGGTCCCCAGATGTTTTGGCCTTCAACTCCCAGAAATCCTAACATCTAGTAAACTGGCTGGGATTTCTGGGAGTTGTAGGCCAAAACACCTGGGGTCCCACAGGTTGACAACCACTGGCTTAGATGTTCTCCAGCTGGAGTTCTTTGGTCTTTAGGGCTGTTTTCCTTGAAAACTTTGGACTGTTTTCCCCCAGAAGGTCTTGATGCTCTTAAGATTGTTTCCCCCTGGAAAGTCTTAAGAGTTGAAGCTTTTGTACAGGGAAAGCTTGCACACACGTCCTGTACATTAGCTTTCCTTGCTGAGACTAACTAAAAAATGGCTCCCTTCCCAATTGCCCTGAGCAAGGGGCGGAACCAAAACTTAACGATGATGGACAGGTGACTTGCCCTATGACTGCAACCAAAGGAAGCCACCTTTCTGCAGAGTCCCTGAAACCTTGGACTGCAAGCAAACATTTAATACAAAGGAAACAAATTTGGAGCTCCTGGTACAGCTGTACCAGCACAGAGGCCAAGCTGAACTTTTTGGACTGCAACTCTCATAATCCCTCATCGCTGTCTATATTGCCACGAGCTGTTTAAAGCTATAGATATTGTCCATCCCAGTTTGAAACCCTGTTTGCATGTTTTAATTCAGGGGAAACCATGATTTAGGAAATACCATATAATACTTGAGTATAAGCCAGTTTTTCAGCCCCTTTTTTAGGCTGAAAAAGCCCCCCTCGGCTTATACTCGAGTCAACGTTATTTATTATTTTACTGTTGTTGTTGTTATTAAGCAAAGTTTATTGATAAGTCCACTAACCGTATCAACATTAAAAACAAAAACAGAAACATACACAAATAGACAATAATCACTATCCTAAGACTCCCATAATAGTGAACTAACATGCATTCAAACTTGATTAAGTTAAAAGATAATTAAAAATATCATCATTAAAATGCCAAGGTAACATTTCAAACCAACTCAGCCGCCCTGAGTCCTCACTGGGGAGATGGTGAGGGTTATAAATTATTATTATTATTATTATTATTATTATTATTATTATTATTATCAGAAACAGAACAAGATGAGTCCACAGCAAACACTCTGCTGGCTGTTGAATTGGATCACACATCGGACACTTCCCAAGTGTCTAGGACTGTGTGATGATGATGATATTATTATTATTATTATTATTATTATTATTATTATTATTATTATTACATTTATTATTTTACTTTATTATTATTACATTATTTTTACTCTATTTTTATTATTACAGTTATTATTTTACTCTATTATTGTTGTTGTTATTATTACATTTACATTATTTTACACTATCGGCTTAGTAATGGAGATGAGCACCATTGGATACGACTGGACTTAAAGTCAGGGGGAAACCTTAATAATTATTTCATTACATATATTATTTTACTCTATTATTGTTATTATTACATTTACGTTATTTTACTCTATTGCGGTTATTTTTATTATATTAATTGTTTACTCTATTATTATTCTTATTACATTTATTATTTTACTCTATTTATTATTGGTATTATTACATTTACATTATTTTACTCTGTTATTATGATATACATCATTTTACTCTTTTATTATTATTTTTATTACATTTATCATTTTACATTCTATATTGTAAAATGAGAGTAAATAGAGTAATAGAGTAAAATTTATTATTTTACTCTATTATTGCTGTTATTACATTTACATTATTTTACATATTACATATTACATTATTATTACATTTACATTATTTTACATATTATTATTATTAGTTTTATTACATTTATTATTTTACTCTATTATTTACATTTACATTATTTTACTCGATTGCTATTATTTTTATTACATTGTTTACTCTATTATTATTCTTAATACATTTATTATTTGCTCTATTTACTATATTGCTATTATTTTTATTACATTAATTTTTACTCTATTATTATTCTAATTACATTTATTATTTTGTTCTATTTAGTATTGGTATTATTACATTTACAATATTTTACTCTGTCATGATGATATACACTATTTTATTCTTTTATTATTATTTTTATTACATTTATCATTTTACATTATTTATTAGTACATTTATTATTTTAGTCTATTATTATTATTATTACATTTATTATTTTATTGCTGTTATTACATCTCCATTCTTTTACTCTATTATTATTATTATTATTATTATTATTATTATTATTATTATTATATCAACTACCAAGTTTGCAAAATCTGTGTTTTTTTTAAATCTGTTTGTTTGTTTTGTTCTGTTAAAAATGTAAGACATTGGTATGGTTGCTGATGACACAATAAATATTATTATTATTATTATTATTATTATTATTATTATTATTATTGGGTTGTTGCAGATTTTTTCAGGCTATATGGCCATGTTCTAGAGGCATTCTCTCCTGACGTTTCGCCTGCATCTATGGCAAGCATCTTCAGAGGTAGTGAGGTCTGTTGGAACTAGAAAAATGGGTTTATATCTCTGTGGAATGACCAGGGTGGGACAAAGGAGTCTTGTCTGCTGGAGCTAGATGTGAATGTTTCAACTGACCACCTTGATTAGCATTTGATGGCCTGGCAGTGCCTGGGGCAATCTTTTGTTGAGAGGTGATTAGCTGTTCCTGATTGTTTCCTCTCTGCTGTTTTGCTGTAGTAATTTTAGAGTTTTTTACAGCAAAACAGCAGAGCGGAAACAATCTGGGACCCGTAGCTGCTGCGTTTCCCACCCTCAGCTTATACTTGAGTATATATGATATATCTGAACTTTAGTTTATATTCAGTGGCTTCTGCACAATTGTTCGTAACAATCTTCCAGAGATCACAGAAAGCAAAACGAACACAGAGCACGATAACAGAGCTGACGGGAGGCAATCTGGCAGCTCCATTTCCCACCGTAAACGTCTTCAGAAAAATGTCAAAAGGAATCGGAGACTTACAGGGAAGTAGATTTCCACAATTTCGAAGTCGACAAACCCGATCACTATCCAGGCAAAGAGGGTAAGCACCGAAACGCCAACGATAAAAGGAACGAAGTAGCCACTGATTTTGTCGGCAAACTGCTGAATTGGAGCCTGAAACAGGGAGAGAAAAAAGCAAGGGGTCAAAAGAGGCGCTTGAACTGGTGCATCAACATACCGCCATACATACACACATCTATAGTTTATATACTAGCTGTACTCTGCCACGCGTTGCTGTGGCCTATAGTAAGAATTTTCGAAGTAGAGGTAGATATCCCTAAACGGTTTGGGACCCGCCTGCCTGCGTGACCGCATCTCTGCATACGGACCCACATGAACTCTTCGATCATCCGGAGAGGCCCTGCTCACGATCCCACCTGCGTCGCAAACGCGATTGGTGGGGACGAGGGACAGGGCCTTCTCCATGGTGGCCCCTCGACTCTGGAACTCTCTCCCCAAGGACATCAGACAAGCCCCAATGTTAGCAGTCTTTAGGAAGAGCTTGAAGACGTGGTTGTCCCAGTGTGCCTTCCCAGAATAGGAAACTCCAAGCATCATGTCCCAATGCACTTTACCAGAGATTTAAGATTGTCTGCACATTGCACCTATCACCAAAATCATCAATTTCATCTGTCATGTCCAGCATATTTAAAATTTTTAATCATTACATTTGGTCCGGCCATAGTTTTTAATTGCGTCGTGGTGTTATTGTTTAATGTTTATTGCTATTGTTTAATGTTTATTGCTTTGTTTTATGAGTTTATTTATTGTTGTATTTGTTATGCTGTTTTTGATGTATTTGGCCTCGGCCTCTTGTAAGCCGCACCGAGTCCTTCGGGAGATGGTAGCGGGGTGTAAATAAAGGATTATTATTATTATTATTATTATTATTATTATTATTATTATATCTGGACTATTATGAAAGAGAGATACCTAGAATCATAGAATCCAAGAGTTGGAAGAGACCTGCTGGGCCTCCAGTGCAACCCCATTCTGCAAGAAGCAGGAAATCGCATTCAAAGCACCCCCGACAGATGGCCATCCAGCCTCTGTAGCTGCCAAAGAAGGAGCCTCCACCACACTTTGGGGCAGAGAGTTCCACTGCTGAACGGCTCTCACAGTCAGGAAGTTCTTCCTCATGTTCTTGTAGTTTGAAGCCATTGTTCCATTGCGTCCTAGTCTCCAGGGAAGCAGAAAACAAGCTTGCTCCCTCCTCCCTGTGGCTTCCTCTCACATATGTATACATGGCTATCATATCTCCTCTCAGCCTTCTCTTCTTCAGGCTAAACATGCCCAGCTCCTTAAGCCGCTCCTCATAGGGCTTGTTCTCCAGACCCTTGATCATTTTAGTCGCTTCCTCTCACATATTTATACATGGCTATCATATTTCTTTCATTCCTTCTTTCGCTCTGGTGTCATCCTTCCTTCTCTCTTTCCTTCCTTCCTTCCCCCTTTCTCTACTTCTCTCTTTGTCTCCTTTCTTCCCTCCCTGTGTCCTTCCTTCTTTCACTTTTTATTTCCTTTTCTCCTTCCTTCTTTACCTCTTTCCTGCCTTTCCTTCCTTTTATTTTTCTTTCCTTTCTACTTTCTCTCCTTCCTCTTCCTTCCTTCCTTCCCCCTTTCCCTCCTTCATTCCTTCCCTTTTTCCCTCCCTCCCTCCTGTCTTCTCTCCTTCCTTCCTCTCTGTTCTCCCCCAATACCATGGTAGAGTCTATATAATACAGTAATATATAGTAGTAACATTATATTATATATATAATATAATTGCTGTGGCACAGTCTGTGTATATGTGTTCTGTGTGTATATATTTATTTGTGCATATGTGTATGTCAATTTTATCCTAGTGCATTTGGCCCGCCCACTGTGTTCTATTTCTCTATCATGTTATTTTGTAATTGTTTATTTTTATTTTGTTATTTCATGTATTTATTTTGATTGTATTTTCTGCTTCTTTGTATTTTATTTTGCTGTACTGTAATTTTGGGCTTGGCCTCATGTTAGCCACCCCGAGTCCCCTTTGGGGAGATGGTGGTGGGGTACAAATAAATTATTTATTATTATTATTATTATTATTATTATTATTATTATTATTATTATTATTAGCTGTACCCGCCACGCGTTGCAGTGGCCAACCTTCCCTTGCTCTTTGTCTCCTTCTTTCTTTGGGGGGGAGATGTAGTGCATGCACACACACACACACACACACACACACACACACACGCATACACATATGGGTGTGGATAATATGGTAATATACTATAATATAAATGGGTTCCTGAATGAAAGTAATTTTCAAACTCTCATAGCCACATTTCATTCCTTTTTATGTAGATACGAGGGCTGGGCGGTTTCGTTTCGTTAATTCGTAATTCGTTAATAATTCGTTAATTTTTTCAATTACAAAACAATAACGAACCATTCTGGAGCAATTATTAAAAAAACGAATTTTCAAAAACGTTTTGTAAATGCTTCGTATTTCGATATTGTATTCGTTTCGTTATTGTTTTGAGGGCGTTTCGTTATTATTTCCGCATGTCTGGGCCAGTTTTATGGTTTAATTAGTGAAAAAAAATTATAATATCACACCAACAGTCAACAACAGAGGGAGAGGGAAGCTTCAGAAGGTTTTGGAGGTTTTTAGCGTATTTTGCGGTCGCGTCCGCCATTAACGAATCGATTCGTTATTGTTTCGGAAATCGATTCGTTAATTTTTTACCATTTACGAAATTTCGTAAATATTGAACTTTTTAAAAGGAAAATTTTGTAATTATTTTAAATATCGAAACAAAAAAAACCCCAAATACAAATCGATTTTAGAAACAAATTTTTCCGTTGTTACCCAGGCCTAGTAGATACCACTGAGCTAAAAAAAATTGTATCTCCTGAGGAGAACAAACTTTCAAGTGTATAATTTTGTAAGTATTCAAATGTGTTGTAACTTATGGTATTTAATGGATATGTTCAACAAATATTGATGCAATAACAAGTGTGAAGACTTTACTAATTTCTTAATGTGTAAAATACTTGAATATTAAGTATTTCTACAATATAATCATTTTCAACATAGTAATTTTCAAACTCTCATAGCCACATTTCGTTTCTTTGTATGCTACTGGAGTAAAACATTGATTTGTACATTAATTTCAGTCCACCAGAGGAAGGCCCGAGGTGCGGTGTTATCTGTACGCAGATGACGTCCAACTCTGTCACTCCTTCCCACCTACCACTAAGGGGGCTGTCCAGGTCCTGAACCGGTGCTTGGCTGCTGTGTCGGACTGGATGAGGGCTAAAAAATTGAAATTGAATCCAGACAAGACAGAGGTCCTACTGGTCAGTCGTAAGACCGAACAGGGCATAGGGTTACAGCCTGTGTTAGATGGGGTCACTCCCCCTGAAGACGCAGGTTCACAGCTTGGGTGTGATCCTGGATTCACCACTGAGCCTGGAACCCCAGGTTTCAGCGGTGACCAGGGGAGCATTCGCACAGTTAAAGCTGTGCGCCAGCTGCGCCCGTATCTTGGGAAGCCTGACTTGGCCACGGTAGTCCACGCTCTTGTCACATCCCGCATAGATTACTGCAACGCGCTCTACGTGGGGTTGCCCTTGAAGACTGCCCGGAAGCTTCAGATGGTCCAGCGCTCGGCAGCCAGGTTGCTAACGGGAGCGGCTCTCAGGGAGCACACCACCCCCCTGTTGAGCCAGCTCCACTGGCTGCCAATTCGCTACCGGGCACAATTCAAGGTGCTGGCTTTAGCCTATAAAGCCCTACACGGTTCCGGCCCCACTTACCTCTCCGAACGCATCTCCACCTATGAACCGGTAGGACGTTAAGATCGTCCGGGGAGGCCCTGCTCTCGGTTCCGCCGGCGTCACAAGTGCGGTTGGCGGGGACGAGAGACAGGGCCTTCTCGGTGGTGGCCCCTCGGCTATGGAATGCGCTACCAGTGGACATCAGGCAGGCCCCTTCGTTACTGGTGTTTCGGAGGAGGGTTAAGACGTGGCTCTATGAGCAGGCATTCGGATAACTATGTGATGACAACCAACCCAATAATGACGGTATTTGGAACAAGGAATGAAAAAGGACTATGAGATCGGGATCTGATTCTAAGCGAGGCGTTGATGATTATATATGTTGTCTGTGTATGTGCGTCTTATATATTGTTCAATGTTGCTTATTTTTATTGTAAACCGCATTGAGTCGCCGCCTCAGGCTGATAAATGCGGTATACAAATGGAGTAAATAAATAAATAAATAAATAGGCCGAAACCGGTCGATACGACTGTACTAAAACTTAGATACGACTGTACTAAAAGTTTGCACCATATTGTTTGTTGCCGCTGTGAGGTTAACAGTGCAGCATGTTTATATACTGTTGTTGAATTATATCATTATTTATGTTATACAAGTGGTATTTTTGTTGTATACATTTCATTCAGGAACCCATCTATATTATAGTATAAGATTCTATTTTCCCCAAACTCCACCAGTGTTCACATTTGGGCATATTGAGTATTCGTGTAGAGTTTGGTCCAGATCCATCATTGTTTGAGTCCACAGTGATCTCTGGATGTAGGTGAACTACAACTCCAAAACCAAAGGACATTGCCCACCAAACCCTTCCAGTATTTTCTGTTGGTCATGGGAGTGTGTGCCAAGTTTGGTTCAATTCCATCGTTGGTGGAGTTCAGAATGCTCTTTGATTGTAGGTGAACTATAAATCCCAGCAACGACAATTCCCAAATGACAAAATCAATTTTTTTGAGTGAAGGACATACATTGGACTGTTAGGTGTCTTGTGTCCAAATTTGGTGTCAATTCCCCCCAGTGGTTTTTGAGTTCTGTGGATACCACAAACGAACATTACAGTTTTATTTATATAGATTATTTGTTTGCGTGTGTGTATATGTGTGTGTGTGTGGTTTTGTGCATGCGTTGTAATGCTTTTTTAAAAAAAGATTGGTCTTTTACGTCCCTTCCGCTGTGTTTTTCAGTGTTTTTATGAGTGATGGTCACTCGTTGGCCTGATACGTATATTGTGTCCAAATTTGGTGTCAATTCCCCCAGCGGTTTTTGAGTTCTGTTAATCCCACAAATGAACATTACATTTTTATTTATATAGATACACACACATACACAGAGGTATATGTTTTTGTGCATTGGCATATCTTTGTTCCTAATAGAACAAAGAGATATCTAAGTATATCAGTCTAACAGCCGAGAAACCTTATTGCCTTGCATGAATGCCATTTTCCCAAAGTTATGACTTCTAAGTTAACTATTCTCTTGCCTTTTGTGCCAAAGCTTCCTTCAAAGAAAACAGGATGAAAACCTTCCTGATCCTTTTTGAAAAGTACCTTGGAAGTTTGGGCTTCTTCCACCAGTTTGACAATCTGGGAGAGAGTGGTGTCGGCCCCAACGTGGGTCGCGGAGACCAGCAGGGAGCCATTCTGGTTGATGGAACCGGCAATGACGGTGCTGCCGGGTTTTTTGGTGACGGGCATCGCTTCTCCTGTGGAATGGAGGCCAAGAACATAACATCTGTTATAGAACTCCAGTATGCTGATGACAATGTCGTCTGTGCGCATTCAGAAGATCTACAAGCCACTCTAAACACCTTCGCAGAAGCATACACGAAGCTTGGTCTGTCATTGAACATCGAGAAAACCAAAGTGCTGCTCCAGCAATCACCAACCAATCCCTCACCAATGCCAGAGATACAGCTTAATGGTGTAACATTAGCAGCCACCTCTCCACCAAAGTCAACATCGACACCGAAATACAACACCGCCTGAGCTCTGTGAGTGCAGCATTTTTCCGAATGAAGCAGAGAGTGTTTGAGGACCGGGACATCTGTAGGGAGACCAAGATGCTTGTCTATAAAGCTATTGTCCTCCCAACCCTGCTCTACGCCTGCGAGACATGGACTGTCTACAGACGTCAACATTGACACTGAAATACAACACCGCCTGAGCTCTGTGAGTGCAGCCTTTTTCCGAATGAAGCAGAGAGCGTTTGAGAACTGAGACATCCGTAGGGAGACCAAGGTGCTTGTCTATAAGGCTATTGTCCTCCCAACCCTGCTCTACGCCTGCGACACGTGGACTGTCTACAGACGTCAACATTGACACTGAAATACAGCACCGCCTGAGCTCTGCGAGCACAGCATTTTTCCGAATGAAGCAGAGAGTGTTTGAGGACCGGGACATCTGTAGGGAGACCAAGATGCTTGTCTATAAAGCTATTGTCCTCCCAACCCTGCTCTACGCCTGCGAAACGTGGACTGTCTACAGACGTCAACATTGACACTGAAATACAACACCGCCTGAGCTCTGTGAGTGCAGCCTTTTTCCGAATGAAGCAGAGAGCGTTTGAGAACTGAGACATCCGTAGGGAGACCAAGGTGCTTGTCTATAAGGCTATTGTCCTCCCAACCCTGCTCTACGCCTGCGACACGTGGACTGTCTACAGACGTCAACATTGACACTGAAATACAGCACCGCCTGAGCTCTGCGAGTGCAGCATTTTTCCGAATGAAGCAGAGAGTGTTTGAGGACCGGGACATCTGTAGGGAGACCAAGATGCTTGTCTATAAAGCTATTGTCCTCCCAACCCTGCTCTACGCCTGCGAGACGTGGACTGTCTACAGACGTCAACATTGACACTGAAATACAACACCGCCTGAGCTCTGTGAGTGCAGCCTTTTTCCGAATGAAGCAGAGAGTGTTTGAGGACTAGGACATCCGTAGGGATACCAAGGTGCTTGTCTATAAAGCTATTGTCCTCCCAGCCCTGCTATATACCTGCAAAACGTGGACTGTCTACAGACGTCAACATTGACACCGAAATACACCGCCTGAGCTCTGCGAGTGCAGCATTTTTCCGAATGAAGCAGAGAGTGTTTGAGGACCAGGACATCTGTAGGGATACCAAGGTGCTTGTTTATAAAGCTATTGTCCTCCCAACCCTGCTATACCTGCGAGACGTGGACTGTCTACAGACGTCACATGCAACTCCTGGAACGATTCCATCAGCGCTGCCTCCGGAAATCCTGCAAATCTCTTGGGAAGACAGGCAGACAAATGTCAGCGTGCTGGAAGAAGCAAAGACCACCAGCATTGAAGCGATGGTCCTCCGCCATCAACTCCGCTGGACCGGCCACGTTGTCCGGATGCCCGACCACCATCTCCCAAAGCAGTTGCTCTACTCCGAACTCAAGGGAAAACAGAATGTTGGTGGACAGGAAAAGAGATTTAAAGATGGGCTCAAAGCCAACCTTAAAAACTCTGGCATAGAAACTGAGAACTGGGAAGCCCTGGCCCTTGAGTGCTCCAGCTGGTCAGCTGTGACCAGCAGTGCTGCAGAATTTGAAGAGGCACGAATGGAGGGCAAAAGAGAGAAATGTGCCAAGGGAAGGCGCATCAAGCCAACCCCGACCGGGACCATCTTCCACCTGGAAACCAGTGCCCTCACCGCGGGAGAACATGCGGGTCAAGAATTGGGCTCCACAGTCACCTACGGACCCACCTCAGAGGATTATCTTACTCGGACAACGAGGGATCGCCTACATAAGTAAGTAAAGAGGCCAAGAACATACTCTGAGGGAAATTTCAGATACCAGTGCTATGTAGTATTGCTTTCTCGCTCTTCTTCCCAACCACCCCAGAGAGTTACACACTTGCCTGTGATGAGTGACTCGTCCACCATCGAATGCCCTTCGATGACACGGCCGTCCACCGGAAACTTGCCCCCCGGGACCACTTTGATAATGTCGCCCCGCTGAACCAATTCGACATCCACTTGTTCTTCGCTGCAAAGAGGACATGTGAAATCCACAATTATTTGTTATGTATACAATTCAGTTAGTTATTTGTTATGTATATAATTCAGATTGCTTACCGTGTTGTCTATGTGTGTGTTGGGATGCAGTTTTCCTTAACTCTATGTTGTAGGAGTGTTGTAACTCAGCGTGTGCCTTCTGTATCTACTAGTGCTAGTAGGAGGAAACGAGGCTTGGAAGAGGAGGACGCTCAGCAGCAGCTGAAGCGCATTAGGGAAATGTTCCTAGAATCTAGTGATGAGGAAGACTTTCAGGGGTTTACTCATGAGGAGATGGAGATGGAGGATTACCGTGGTGTAAAGCGAGTAGCACGCAGTTCTGATAGCGATGAGGAATCCATTTCCAAGCGTCTTAAAGACATAGCAGATAGCTACGGGTCTGAAAGTGATGATGAAGAGCTGGACTGGACTAGGGTCCAGGAGGTTCAGGATGTGATTAATGCTCCAACTTCCAGTGGGGAGTTCCAAGGGTTCACAGACTCATGGGTTTCGGATACTGCTTCTCAGGATGCAGCCCGGAGTGCAGACTGGCAACAATGGAGGGAACGCAGTTCACCTGTGGAACTGGATGCACCTGGAGGCGAATCTAGTGATTCTGATGGGATTTAAGGAGTAGCCTTGGGTCCATTATGTTGCAGAGTTCAAAGCGTTGTGTACCCGTGTATCCTGCTGTTAACTCTTGCCTTGAGTCCTTGTATCCAGAATCGTGTTTCCGTGATCGTGCTGACTACTTTGCCTGGCTTGGAACCGTGAGTCTTGTCTCCTGCCCTGACCTCTGGACCGTCTTGACCATTCTACAATCCTGCCTGTCTCCAGCGTGGACTTTGGACCGCTCCTCATACTGCTTTTTGTGTTGTGATTTTTGAACTGACTGTATTCCGTTCTAACCACGAACTGTTTTGCCTGCTTTTCTTGTTTTCCTTTTTGCTGCCCAGACTGCCTGGGTCACTGTTTGTTTACATTCCTGCAAGCCGCAGGCTCTTTTGTTTACAAGCTCTGCTGAGAAGAGCCCTTTGACTTGTTAATTGCCATTAAACACCCTTTGTTAACCCTTAAGCTGCTGTTTTGCCTCGTTGCTCTGCCTGGGTCTTGACAAGGAGGGACTGCAGACCATGTGATCAGATCTAGGACTATTTAGACTCAGTGTGATGGCATGCCAGGGTGAAAGGAAAACTATATGTCTGGCTATTCCCGGTGGCTATCGGTATACCCTCTGATGTACTTCAGTTCTTTAAAATAAAGACTCTTGAGACAAGATTAAAGTTAACCAAATAAGTTTATGGGAAACAAAGGCCAAGTTAACTTGAGTCAGAGTTCTTGAAAGGCGAATCAAAGTAAAATATTACAATGACGAAGTTTGTTGATTGAACTTCCTTGATTACTTACTTATTACTTACTTAGGCGATCCCTCGTTTTCTGAGGATGATTGTCTTCCAGTATTTTTGTGGGTCCGTATGTGGCTGTGGAGCCCTATTCTTGCTCTGCATCTTCTTCTGCAGTGAGGGCATTGGTTTCCAGGTGGAAGGCGGTCTCGGTCGGGGTTGGCTTGACGCGCCTTCCTCTTGGCACGTTTCTCTCTTTTGCCCTCTATTCGTGAATCTTCAAATTCTGCAGCACTGCTGATCACAGCTGACCTCTAGCTGGAGCGCTCAAGGGCCAGGGCTTCCCAGTTCTCAGTGTCTATGCCAGTTTTTAAGGTTGGCTTTGAGCCCATCTTTAAATCTCTTTTCTTGTCCACCAACATTCCGTTTTCCGTTCTTGAGTTCGGAGTAGAGCAACTGCTTTGGGAGACGGTGGTCGGGCATCCGGACAACGTGGCCGGTCCAGCGGAGTTGATGGCGGAGGACCATCGCTTCAATGCTGGTGGTCTTTGCTTCTTCCAGCACGCTGACGTTTGTCTGCCTGTCTTCTCAAGAAATTTGCAGGATTTTCCGGATGGAATCGTTCCAGGAGTTGCATGTGACGTCCGTAGACAGTCCACGTCTCACAGGCGTATAGGAGGGTTGGGAGGACAATAGCTCTATAAACAAGCACCTTGGTCTCCCTACGGATGTCCTAGTACTCAAACACTCTCTGCTTCATTCGGAAAAATGCTGCGCTCGCAGAGCTCAGGTGGTGTTGTATTTTGGTGTCGATGTTGACTTTGGTGGAGAGGTGGCTGCCAAGGTAGCGGAAATGGTCCACATTTTCTAATGTTACACTAGTAATAAATACTGATTTGAACAACTTCCGGCCAGTTTCCAATCTCCCCTTTTTGGGCAAAGTCTTGGAACGTGTGGTTGCCTCACAGCTCCAGGTGTTCCTGGGCGAAACTTACTATCACAGTCGGGTTTCAGACCGGGACATGGAACTGAGACAGCCATGGCCGCCTTAGTGGATGATCTCTGCAGAGAGCTCGACAAGGGGAGTGTGTCCATGTCGGTTCTCCTGGACCTCAGCAGCCTTCGATACCGTCAACCACGGTATCCTTCTGGGGCACCTCATGGAGATGCGTCTTGGAGGGACTGTTCTGCAGTGGCTCCAGTCCTTCCTGGAGGGTCATACCCAGAAGGTGTGGCTGGGGGACTCCTGCTCAGCCCCACAGCCATTGTCCTGTGGGGTCCCACAGGGCTCCGTATTGTCCGCCATGTTGTTTAACATCTACATGAAGCCACTGGGTGAGGTCATCCAGAGTTTTGGAGTTCGATGCCATCTGTACGCAGATGACGTCCAACTCTATCACTCATTTCCACCAGATGCGAAGGAGGCTGTCCAAGTCCTGAACTGGTGCCTGGCCGCAGTGACGGTCTGGATGAGGGCGAACAAACTGAAGTTGAATCCAGACAAGACAGATGTCCTCCTGGTCAGTCGCAAGGCTGAACAGGGTATAGGCTTGCAACCTGTGCTGGATGGGGGTCACACTCCCCTTGAAGGCCCAGGTTTAAAATACACCATTTAAAACCGTCTTAGTCATCCGCATCAAATCTAATTGGCCTGGTCACCTTTCCTATTGCCGCTTTATTGCCCTGTCCCGAAAGCTTGGTCCCACAGCCAAGTTTTGACCATCCTTCTAAAGGACAGGAGGGAGGGGGCCGACCTGATTTCACCAGGAAGGGAGTTCCATAGCCAGGGAGCAATCACCAAGAAGGCCCTGTCTCTCGTCCCCACCAATCGCGCCTGTGACAATGGTGGGACGGAAAGCAGGGCCTCCCCGGAGGATCTTAATCTCCATGATAGTTCATAAGGAGAGATGCGTTCGGACAGATAATTTGGGCTGGGGCCATTTAGGGCTTGATAGGCCAAAGCCAGCACTTTGAATTGTGCCCGGTAGCAAACTGGCAGCCAGTGGAGCTGGCGTAACATGGGAGTTGTATGCTCACTGTATGCCGCCCCAGTTATTAACCTGGCTGCCTCTCGTTGGACTATTTGAAGCTTCTGAGCAGTCTTCAAAGGCAACCCCACATAGAGTGCATTGCAGTAGTCTATCCTTGATGTAACGAGAGCATGGACAACCATGGCCAAGTCTGACTTCGTAAGGTACGAGCGCAACTGGTGCACAAGTTTTAATTGTGCGAGCGCTCCCCTGGCCACCGCTGCAAACTGGGATTCCAGGCTCATTGATGAGTCCAAGCTGCGATCCTGTGTCTTCAGGGGGAGTGTAACCCCGTCCTGCACAGGTTGTGACCCTAATCCCTGTTCGGCCTTGCGACTGACCAGGAGGACCTCTGTCTTGTCTGGGTTCAACTTCAATTTGCTCACCGTCATCCAGACCGTCACAGCGGCCGGGCACCGGTTCAGGACTTGGACAGCCTCCTTAGCATCTGGTGGAAATGAGTGCTAGAGTTGGATGTCATCTGCGTACAAATTCATTGGTCCTAATTCACCGATGCAATAAATCAGCACTTGCAAGTGGACCAGTGCACATTGTTGGGGTTCAGCCTGTGTGTGAACTTGAACCTGACTCTCTGATTGTAATTCCTGATGTCCATGTAGATGTCAATGTGAATTCTGAGGCCAATTTAGATGATGATGGTTTGAGTAGTGAAAATCCTATAGCCTTGGAAAGCGAAAGTCAAGATTCCCATGAGAACATACATTCCGAGCCGAGCAGAGACGGTACACTCCCTTTTCCTCCCAGTCTCAGCTCTCCGGAGAATCAGACACCTGGCCTGCCTAATGAGGATACGCAGGGGCAGATTTGGCAGAGACAGGGAGAAGCACAATGTTTACACAGGTCAGCCAGATTGAAAGAAATCCAAACAAAATCTGCAGGCATGTCTCGCAATAGATTTCTTGGCCTTAAATATGCCTGGGATGAATACAGCTTCAGACCAGGCATCGTTCCAGATTCATGTGCCAGCGTTTGCAGGTCTCCTGATTCAAGTAGCCTTGTACCTCGGAGGCTTTCTAGTTTTGCTAAGTACGGTTAGTGGATTGCTAACAGGTTCCAGGATTCAGCAGTTTTGCTGTGGGTTTCATGATCTTGTTTATGGACATTTCTTGTTGCTGATTTTTACTGTGACGTGTTACCTTTGCATTTTTCCTCTATTTGGTATTCATCTTTCATCAATAAAAAAGCATTGTTTCTCCTGAAGCCAAGTGTGGTGGATTGTTGTCTGAGAGTCCAGTTTCCTGCTCTGGGTCGCAACACACATTTAGGCTTCTTCCAGCATTGGCACATCCTTCCTTCAAGCATATTTTAGAGGGCAAGTTCCTTGCACAAGGGACTGGACTTCTGCTAAATCTACTCTCCCCAAAATTCAATGTATACAGATCATGATATCAAAGGAATACAGAGTGGAAGGAGCATAGAAATGCCAGAAGGGCCTCGTTTAATGTTTCAAGAAAAAGCAGGCAAAACCCAACCAACCTCAGCAGGATGTTGTCTGAGCCCAGCGTCACAACAGTCGCCTCCGTGGCTTGCAGCGAGATGAGCTTTGCGAGCGCTTCTGAGGTTTTCCCCTACAAAAACCCAAAGCGACATGTTTTACATTCAAAACAACATCGAACAAGCCACCTTTTAGACAAATACTGACTGCAGGAAACAGAGACTGAGTTAAGTCTAAATTCTAAGTTTGTTCTAAACAGAGAGCAAAAGAAAGATTTGTCAACAGAGACAATGAAGTCGGCTTCAGACCCATTTATCAGGCTTTATGTTGCCAAAAGGATCTTTGTAGGGTAAAGTATAAGAGAAGGTCTGTTTTCTGTGGCATTGCTACTCAATGCAGTAAATGAGTTTGCAAACCACTTCTGCCAAATTTTGTGATAATATGATGTTTTCAGATTTAAAAGTCCTACAACCATCATAAGGGTTTATGTTGCCTTAACCCATGCATGCTATAATGAATCCCTCACCTTAACAGGCTAGCTTAAGCCTAAGGAAATGGGCCTGGCGAAGCCACGGCACCCATTTTGGGAAAGGGAGACAGGGAGACAGGTTGCCTTAAGGGGGAGATTCTAGTCTTGGAGGGAAAGTTAGAAGACTAGGATTGGTTAGGAAGCTCGGAAGCTCCAACTAGTCCAACGCTCGGCAGCCATGATTTTAACAGGAGCGGAGCGCAGGGAGCATACAACCCCCCTGTTGCGCCAACTCCACTGGCTGCCGATCTGCTACCGGGCTGAATTCAAAGTGCTGGCGTTGGCCTTTAAAGCCCTAAACGGTTCCGGCCCAAGCTACCTATCCGACCGCATCTCTGCCTATGAACCCACCAGGACTTTGAGATCTTCCGGGGAGACCCTGCTCTCGATCCCGCCTGCTTCTCAAGCTCGGCTGGCGGGGACGAGAGATAGGGCCTTCTCGGTGGTGGCTCCTCGGCTGTGGAACGCCCTTCCTACGGACATTAGACTAGCACCATCTCTAATGGTATTCCGCAAAAAGGTGAAGACCTGGATGTTTGTGCAGGCGTTTGAGTAATTTAGTACAATCTGGTAATGGAACATAGGAATGGAACAATGGACGACGAACCTGGACTACGCTTGGATGATGAGAAGATTGGGTACGGTTGTTTTTTGTAATAATTGTGCATTGTAATTGCTTATTGGTAATTTATGGATAATGTGTTAAGTCAATTGTTATATGTTGTATGGAACCACTGCTGTTTCTACTGTTTCTACTGTTTGTGAACCGCTGTGAGTCGCCTTCGGGCTTGAGATACAGCGGTATATAAGCAAAGTAAATAAATAAATAAATAAATAGGAAGATGGGGGCGGAGCCTAAGTGATCTAAAGGGAAAAAAGTGACTTTTAAACTGAGGTTTGAGGTCCCAGTTTGCCAGTTGGTTTTTGGATCGGGTAGAGAGAAGAAATGTGGGTGTTAGTGAGAGCAGTTTGGGTTTCTGAAGAAGAAGTTTGGGTCAGTCTTTTGTGTAGCATTCAGAATAGCTATAGACAAGATAGTTAGAATACTGTTTTGTGGAACAGCACCCCGTTAGTGGTCTGTTCATTTCCTAAGGAAGGCTAGTTCAGGGTTTTGGCTAGATTCCAAAGGGGGATTTTTGGGAGTTACTTTCAGAGATTCATTTCCTGAAGTAATTTTCTGTGTTGAAACTTTTAAGACTTGTAACCCAGAAGTTTTTAAGATCTTTACTCTAACAAAACCACAAGCTTTTTATGCCAGCATTTCACTGAAACCATTAAGCATTTGTACCTGAATATTTCAAGTCTGTTCAATAAACGTTCTTGTTATTTTTATCAACTTATACCAGCCTCAGTGTGAATACCTTTGTGGTCAAAGTGTTATTCAAGTCAGCTTTAACAACCTCTCAAAAATACCTCAGTCTGTTTATTAGTAATATGGTGGCAACGGAAATCTTTTGAAGAATTATTTTTAAGTCTCTCAGTTCCAGTGATTCCCAGTTCCTAGATTTTACATATACAGTTGGTTCAGCAACTATACTCCCTCTATATTTTGGTGAGCTAGTCTGTAGTAGTGGAGGTGTTATCATTATAAGTTGAAGGAGCAGCATTGGTATTATTTTTCTATATATCCCCGTCAGATAAATCCCCCCCCCCCCGCACCCCTTTACCTTGGCAATGTGCTCCAGCCATCGTCCCAGGGCTATGAAGACGAAGAGCATTGGCGGGGTGTCAAAGAAGGTCACGGGGTTGACCTTTGCCCTCTCGGCCATTGCCACCAAGACGACAACAAGGGAGTAGACGAAGGCAATGGTGGTGGCCAGGACGATCAGCACGTCCATGTTGGCCGTCCGGTGCTTCAGTGCTTTGTAGGCCTGGATGTAGAAGTGCCAGCCCCCAAAGATCTGCAGAAGGGAGGGGAAAACCCAAAGGCACGTTTCACAACCAAAAGGCAGAAGAAGCAAACAAACAAATCTGATTCCAGAGAGAATACACTTTTGGGTCGCTGTGAGTTTTCTGGGCTGTGTGGCCATGTTCCAGAAGCATTCTCTCCTGACGTTTCGCCCACATCTATGGTAGGCAACCTCAGAGGTTGTGGGGTCTGTTGGAAACTAGGAAAATGGGGTTTATATATCAGTGGAATGATGCCCAGGGTGGGAGAAAGAACTCTTGTCTGTTTGACAATTAATGTTGCAATTGGCCAGTTTGAATAATAATACTAATAATAATAATAATAATAATAATAAAAACAATAATAATCTATATAAATCAAGTTGTTGTTGATATTATTATTATTATTATTATTTACTGACACAAAAGCACAGTATGTCACAGCAAACGGGATCTATATGCTGGATTTCGTATCACAAAATCACAAGTCGAACACTTCCCACGCATCTAGGACTGTGTGATTATTATTATTATTATTATTATTATTATTATTATTATTATTAATACAACAAGATGAGTCCGCAGCAAACAAGATCACTCTGTTGCCTGTTGAATTGGATCCCACGCCAGACACTTCCCAAGTGTCTAGGACTGTGTGATTCATCGGCAAATAATGCGTGCAGATCCCAGTAAGGTGGCCTTCTGTAGCTGGCAGATGGGAATCTTGTCAGCGCCAATTGTGTTTAAGTACAGGCCAAGGTCTTTAGGCACTGCACCTAGTGTGCCGATCACCACTGGGACCACCTTGACTGGTTTGTGCCAGTCTTTGCAGTTCGATCATTAAATCCTCATTATTATTATTATTATTATTATTATTATTATTATTATTATTATTATTGCTCCCTTCCAGTGAGTCCCTAAGATTTTGGCCCATGCCATTCACTAAAAGAAACCTGAGTGAATTTCAAAAGCGAGCATTGGAAGCCCTCCTACTTGCCTGGACAGGGACGCAGAGCAGGAAGGAGAGCAAATTCATGACGGACAGCCCAGGGAGGACTTGCTGCTCCAGGAACATGGCCGAGTGGTGCTCCTCCGTGTCTCCTTGGGTCACGTTCCCAGCGTGGTGTGTCGCAGACATGTGGCTGTCCATCGCCATCATGTAAATCATGAGCCCCATCACAGGGATGCAGAAGAACAGGCTGACGAGGAAGGAGCGTTTCCATCTGACAGAAACAACAATATAATATAATGCAATACAATATAACATAATACAATCTATATAAATAAAAATGTAATGTTCGTTTGTGGGATTAACATAACTCAAAAACCACTGGTCGAATTGTCACGAAATTTTGACACAATACACCTAACAGTCCAACGAGTGTCCATCACCCCTAAACACACACACACACACACACACACACCCACACAAACAGTGGAACAGACTTAAAAACCTAAAAAATTACACCATACATACATATACACATACACTCATACACATGCACACATTCATCCACACACACACATATATATGCACAAGCACACAAAAATATACACATATAAACACACATACATATGCATACACACATATATACATATACACAAGCACACATACATATATATACACACATATACACACAAATGTGCATATAGACAAGCACACACATATAGATAATATGTACATACACATATAAACACATGAATATATACACACATATATACATATGTTGTTGTTGTTCATTTGTTCAGTCGTCTCCGACTCTTCGTGACCTCATGGACCAGCCCACGCCAGAGCTCCCTGTCGGCCGTTACCACCCCCAGCTCCTTCAAGGTCAGTCCAGTCACTTCAAGGATGCCATCCATCCATCTTGCCCTTGGTCGGCCCCTCTTCCTTTTGCCTTCCACTTTCCCCAGCATAATTGTCTTCTCTAGGCTTTCCTGTCTCCTCATGATGTGGCCAAAGGACTTCCACTTTGTCTCTAGTATCTTTCCCTCCAGTGAGCAGTCTAGTATCTTTCCCTCCAATGAGCAATGAGCATGTATATGTATGTATATACATATACATACACACATATATACATATACACATGCACACACAAACATACATATATACACACACATACACATGCACACATACATACACACATATATACATATACACATGCATGCATATATACATATACACATGGACACACATACATATACACACATATACACACAAATATGCATATAGACAAGTACACACATATATACATATACATACACACATATATACATATACACATGCACACACATGTATACACACATATACCCATGCACACACAAACATGCATATGTACACACACATACACATGCACACATACACACATATATACATATACACATGCATGCATATATACATACACATGCACACACATATACATATACACACAAATATGCATATAGACAAGCACACACATATAGACAATATGTACACACACATATAAACACATGAATATATACATACATATATACATTACCCCAAATGCACACAACTAATTCTGAGTGCACGCAAGAACTTGCAACCTTAAAATGAGACCTGATCCTAAAAACTTAAGAAAAGAATCAAAATAGTTTTAGCAACATTAGCCACCCCCCCCAAAAAAAAAACAACAACAACACTTACTGCCTTATTTCCTGCTTGTGATCTAAGTGGCTTGCACTTCGGTCTTTCTTCACCAACGCAGCTTTAAATCCTAAATCCTAGGAAAAGAGGGAAGTTTAACTTTAGTATACAATTCCCATGACATGGTCGGTGCTAAAATGTCAGTGGCTCCTGGAATCATTTTGAAATGCTTCAAATATTTTTTTTAAAAAGAGTTCAAGAAAAGATAATAATATTATATTAATTATTATAATATAATAATAATTATTATATTATAATAATAATATAATAATTATAATAATTATAATATTATAATTATTATAATATTATAATAATAATAATTATAATATAATTATTATTATTATTATATTATAATAATAATAATTATATTATTATAATTATTATATTATTATAATTATTATTATCATATTATAATTATTATTATATATTATTATATTATAATCTATATAAATAAAAATGTAATGTTCGTTTGTGGGATTAACAGAACTCAAAAACCACTGGACGAATTGACACCAGATTTGGACACAAGACACCAAACAACCCAATATAGATTTTAATAGAATAATTATAATCATTATAATAATATAATAATTATTATTATTATATTATAATAATTATATTAATAATTATATTATTATTATTATACTTACATTATTATAATTATTATATCATTATAATTATTATTATATATTATTATAATTATTATATTATTATCTATATAAATAAAAATGTAATGTTCGTTTGTGGGATTAACAGAACTCAGACACCATTGGACGAATTGACAGCAAATTTGGACACAAGACACCTAACAACCCAATATAGATTATAATATAGTAATTATAATCATTATAATAATATAATAATAGTTATTATAATATTATAATAATTTTTATAATATTATAATAATTTTTATAATATTATTATAGTTATTATAATATAATTATTATAATTATATTATTATAATAATTATTATTATATTATCATTACAATTATTATTATATATTATTTTATTATTATTATTTTATTATATTATAATCTATATAAATAAAAATGTAATGATCATTTGTGAGATTAACAGAATTCAAAAACGACTGGATGAATTGACACCAAATTTGGACACAAGACACCTAACAAATCAATGTATGTCCTTCACTCAAAAAAAATTGATTTTGTCATTTGTGAGTTGTAGTTGCTGGGATTTATAGTTCACCTACAATCAAAGAGCATTCTGAACCCCACCAGCGATGGAAATGAACCAAACTTGGCACACAGGACTCCGATGACCAACAGAAAATACTGGAAGGGTTTGGTGGGCATTGACCTTGAGTCTGGGAGTTGTAGTTCACCTACATCCAGAGAGCATTGTGGACTGAAGCAATGATGGGTCTGGATCAAACATGGCACGAATATTCCAAATGCCCAAATGTGAACACAGATGGAGTTTGGGGGAAATAGATCTTGACATGTGGAAGTTGTAGTTACTGGGATGTATAGTTCACCTACAATCAAAGTGCATTCTGAACCCCACCAAAGACAGAATTGGGACAAATTGGAACTAGGAAGGGGAATGTGGGCTTACCTCTATGACTCGCATGATGCTGCGAGGGCCAATAATCTCGGGGTCGTACTTAATGTGCGCCTTGTTGGTCGCGAGGGCAACCGAACTGTACAGGACCCCTGTGGTTTTCATGAGCATGGATTCGATCTTATGGACGCAGGAGGCACACGTCATTCCTTTCACCTGTTAGGAGGGGGGAAAAAACCTGCTTTTTAATCAATGTTTACAGAGCACCGCATCAAGGGCGGAAATCGGCATGCGTTAGAAATAATGAAGATGGACATGAGGATGGTAACGAATGGGACTTGTGGTTATTTTAATCCATGATTTTTGCATCTACACATATAATAAAAGTGAAAAATATGTATGCGTGTATGTAGTGGAAGTGTGCACTTCTCCTCTACACAAACAGGCTCTAGTTCCTCCACTGACATTGCAGGTTATAGCGAGCACCATGCACATGTCACCCAAACACTGCCAAAACCTCCCCAAACACTACGACCCACCACTCAAGGAATGCTTTCATTTGGGGAGAATATCAACCTAGATTTGGCATGTTTCCTCCACCACAGGCAGGCATCCCAGGGTTCCTTTCTCTCTCTGTTGGTGTGAAATTTGCATGACCCCAAGTGAAGGCCTTAATTCCAGGACCATTTCATCCTAGATGTTCTGTTTTTCCTCCAGAGTGGACATCCCAGGGTTTTCTCTCTCAATTGGGGTAGAATTTGCATGACCCCAAGTAAAGGCCTTCATTCTGGGACAATTTCATCCTAGATGTTCTGTTTTTCCTCCAAGATGGAGATCCCAGGGTTCCTTTCTCTCTCCCTCTCTCTCTCTTTCTCTCAATTGGTGTAGAATTTGCATGACCCCAAGTGAAGGCCTTCATTCGGGGACCATTTCAACCTAGCTGTTCTGTTTTTCCTCCAGAATGGACATCCCAGGGTTCCTTTCCCTCTCAATTGGTGTAGAGTTTGCATGACCCCAAGTGAAGGCCTTCATTCGGGGTACAATTTCATCTTAGATGTTCTGTTTTTCCTCCAGAGTGGACATCCCAGATGTTCTGTTCTTCCTCCAGAGTGGACATCCCAGGGTGCCTTTCTCTCTCTCTATTGGTGCTTTGAATGCAATTTCCCTGCTTCTCGGCAGAATGGGGTTGGACTGGATGGCCCACCAGGTCTCTTCCAACTCTATGAGTCTGGCGTCCAGATTGAGGGAAGTCCTGGTGCCTCTCTCTTCTGCTTTGGTCAGACCTAGAATCACACTGTGTCCCATTCTGGGCCCCACAATTGAAGAGAGATATGGACTCTAAGCTGGAAAGAGTCCAGAACAAGAAGGATACTCGGAGGATCAAAGGTCTGGAGTCCATGAATAATCCCTCTGAGGAGCATCTTAAAGAGCCGAGTCTGCCTCAGAAGACAAGGTGGAGAGAAGACATGAGAGGAGCCGTGTATAAATATGTAAAAGGGTGTGATAAGGAAGAAGGAGCAGGTTTGTTTTCTCTGCCCTTGAGACTGCGACTCAATGGAGCCATGGGTTCAAATCCCAGGAAAGGAGATTCCACCTCAACATTAGGAAGAACTTCCTGACCGTATGAGCTGTTCAGCAGTGGAACTTTCTGCCTCAGAATCCAGTGGGAGCTCCTTCCTTGGAAACATCTGAACAAAGGTCGGATGGCCATCTATTGGGGGTGCTTTGATAGTGCTTTTCCTTCATAGCCCGGAGTTGGACTAGATGGCCCACTTGGTCTCTTCCAACTCTATTATTATTATTATTATTATTATTATTATTATTATTATTATTATTATTATTGTTATTATTGTTATTATTATTATTATTATTATTCTACTGACACAAAAGCACAGTATGTCACAGCAAATGAGATCTATATGCTGGATATCATTATTATTATTACTTTCCTGACACAAAAACAGATTATTATTATTATTATTATTATTATTATTATTATTATTATTATGTCTGGATGGCCATCTGTCAGATACCGAGATTGTGCTTTTCCTGCATGGTAGAATGGGGTTGGACTAGATGGCCCATGGGGTCTCTTCCAACTCTATTATTCTATGATAAGAGGGGGCTGTGGTGCCTTCAATGGGAGTTGGTGAGTAAAGTTGGGCTTGAAAAAGTGGTCTACACTCTCCCTTCAGAGCTGTATTGCCATTTCAAAGAGAGAGGCCACTACTTCAAATACTGCAGTGTTGTTGAATTCCTCATACACAATATACACATATTTCCCTTCATGACGGAAGAATACGAGGCCCAGACTTGTTAAAGCTTATTATACACTTGTCTGTGGCGACAAGAGACGGCCCCGCTCACCACCAGCTCCAGGACGCCATCTCCTTGGTCATAGTTCTCCAGGACGGTGGCTCCGAACCCCAGTTCTCGAATCAGTTCGGCAACAAGCGGCGGCTGGATGACAGCGGGATTGTACCTGACTTCCGCCTTCCCGGCCATCAAGGCCACGAGGACAGAGGATATCCCTGGAAAGAGAGGGTCAAACAGGGCAAGTGTTAGCGGAGGAACTATCAGCGCAACACACAACATTTTAGTCCAAGCAAAAAGGCACAGATCTCTACTTAGAGCAATGTTTCTTAACCTTCCTAATGCCGTGACTCCTTAATACAGTTCCTCATGATGTGGTAAACCCCAAACAAAACATTATTTTCGTCGCTACTTCATAACTGTGATTTTGCTACTGTTATGAATCGCAATGTAAATATCTGATATCCAGGATGTATTTTCTTTCACTGGACCAAATTTAGCACAAATACCCCATACGCCCCTGGAAGGTCACAGGAGAGAGGAGGGATGATTTATTGTTGCCACCAATTTGAAAGGAACCAGTATTCAGGAGATTTTACCCCAGTTCCCAATTTTAAAAAGAACTAGCCGATTTGCAATGGAGGTTGCCGATTAGGAACCAAATTTACCACCAAGTTGGAAGGGAGGCTGTTCAATTGCACCTCCTCCTTTATTAAGAAAGTAATAACTTAGTAGTAATTACACTGTATATACTGTAGCGTGACTGGAGAGAAGAATGTAGATTTATTTGGTTACTTTTCCCTGCGTTTCTGCCACCACGTGAGGTAAGTTGTAATATTGTGAGAAATGGCACTTTCGACACAGAATAGACGGAGCTGAGGCAATCTTCAAATAAAAGTTAACAATTTTATTAAGTACACAGCGTGTGGTTGCAAGACGTAACTTTTCCTTGGTGCACTTGGAATAATACTTGTAACTTTAACAGTTCATTCTTTCAAGTAACACAGTATCTTTCTGACGTAGAGCACTTGTTTCAGACAAAGTTTCAATACAGGGATGTTTCCCTTATTTGATCCTCCCTAGATCAAATACTAAGTAAACTATTCTTTAGCCTCTCCTTAGACTAAAAGAATACCAGCTATGTTTCACCATTCGGCTGCACTAGCCTGAGAAACTTCCAATAGCCAAATCCAGCTTTTCAAAGCCTCAAAGCTTTGCTTCACAAGTCACTCCGCCACCTTTCCTTTCCTTCTCTCCCAACTCCTAACTCCTCACTCCTCTAAACCTAAACCCTGACTGCTCACTCCTCTAAACCTAAAACCTAACTGCTCATTCCTCTAAACCTAACACCTAACTGATCTTTAACTGTCATTTTTTTAAACTCTCCCCTCTAAGCTCCTCCCACTTCCCTCTCTCCTGCATCGGTCTCCATGGCAACGCACATGAGGACTCCTCTGACTTAGGCCGCTCCAGCATTACTGCAGCCAATCTAAACACAAATACAGTTAAAATCATACAATTTATAATCAACTCCTGTACAGCCCCAATCTGAATACTGGTAGGGTTTGGGTAGCTGTTTGGAGAGGGATGGGTTTGCAGATAACCTAAATCTCTGATAAAGTGCGTTGGGGGCAAAATGCTTGGAGTTTCCTTATTCTGGGAAGGCACACTGGAACAACAACGTTTTCAAGCTCCTCCTAAAAATTTCCAGCGATGGGGCTTGCCTGATGTCCTTAGGGAGAGAGTTCCAGAGTCGAGGGTCCAGAAAGCCCTATCCCTTGTCCCCACCAATTCGCTTGCGATGCAGGTGGGATCGTGAGCAGGGCCTCTCCAGATGAACAAAGAGATTGTGTGGGTTCGTACACAGAGATGGGTCACGCAGGTAGGCGGGTCCCAAACTGTTTAGGGCTTTGTAGGTAAGCACCTGCACCTTGAATTGGGACCGGAAAATGAATGGAAGCCAGTGGAGCTCCTTAAACAGGAGGGTTGACCTCTCTCTGTAAGGAGCACCAGTTAACAACCTGGCCGCCGCCCGTTGGACCAATTGAAATTTCCGGGCCGTTTTCAAGGGCAGCCCCATGTAGAGTGCATTACAGTAGTCCAATCTGGAGGTGACTAAGGCATGGACCACCCTGGCCAGATCCGCCTTCACGAGGAATGGTCGCAGTTGGCGCATGAGTCTTAATTGTGCGAAGACCCTCCCGGCCACTGCCGACGCCTGAGCTTCAAGCGTAAGTGATGAGTCCAGGAGGACACCCAAACTGCAGACCTGTGACTTCAGGGGGAGTGCAACCCCGTCCAGCACAGCTTGCCACCCTATACCTCGATCTGGTTTACGATCGACCAGGAAGACCTCTGTCTTGTCAGGATTGATCTTCAGCTAGCTCTTCCTCATCCAGCCAGCCACAGCGGCCAGGCACTCGTCCAGCACCCGAGGGGCCTTTGGAGTTAGGTGGAAAAGAGTAGTAGAGTTGTGTGTCATCTGCATAGAGATGGCACCCAACTCCAAAACTCCGGATGACTTCTCCAAGCGGTTTCATGTAGATGTTAAAAAGCATGGGAGACAGAATGGAGTCTTGCGGGACCCCACAGGTCAAAGGCCAGGGGTCCGAGCAGGCGTCTCCCAGCTTCACCATCTGGGATCCCTCCAGGAAGGACCGGAGCCACGACAGAACCGTGCCCCCGAGACCCATCCCAGAGAGGTGTCCCAGAAGGATACCATGATCGATTGTATCGAAAGCCACTGAGATGTCCAAGAGAACCAACAGGGTCACACTCCCCCTGTCCAGCTCCCTGCGGAGGTCATCCACCAAGGCGACCAAAGCAGTCTCGGTGCCATGGCCAGGCCTGAAACTTGACTGTGACTGGTCCAGGTAGTTGATGTCATCTAGAAAACCCTGGAGCTGGGAGGCGACCACCCGCTCCAGCACCTTGCCCAGAAAAGGGAGGTTGGAGATTGGTCTGTAGTTGTTCAGTACTGTGGAGTCAAGGGATTATTATTATTATTATTATTATTATTATTATTAGTGCAGTATTTCTCACCTTCTTCTCTCTTCAAGTTCCTTTCGATGTTGGCCACGCACGAAGCGCATGTCATACCAGTGACCTGAATGTAGCATTTCGAGGGTGGGTTTCCATCCTGATTCTCATGGACTGGGGACGGTTTGGAGCGAGTCTCTGTTTTGGAGAGTTTATTATTCTGGGATTCTGCCATCCTTTCCTGGGAAGGCTGAGTTATGAGCACCACAGGATCCGGGCTTGGTGTCACTGGAAGCAGAAAGGAATACTTTTGAATGCTTTACAGACAAAAATCTCCACGACTAAAAAGGTCCTAAAGATATCCAAACTGGGAGAAGTGTGCCTGTTGCTTTGCCAAAACCTTCCCAGGGAAAACACACCTTACAACATTCATGTTGGAGTTCAGCCTGTGATTGTGTTTCAGGATGAAGGTACTTTGGATTTGGGAAGTGATGCCAATGAATTTCAAGATGGCAATGGTTTGGTCAATGATACTGATGCAGAGAAGGACCAGGAGACCCCTGTGCAAAGCGTAGTTTCACATGAGAATGTCCCTGAAGAGTGTGGGGATGACATAGTGTACTCCCTGAATTGCTACCAGAGACTTCCCAGGATTTGGGGCTTGAAAACAACTGGGCACCTGACCCAGCTGTGAGACTTAATGAGCAAATATATAGGCAGGAAGAAATTAGTCAAAACAGACAGGCCGAACAGTGCCTTCGGTGTTCTGCCGGGCTCCGACAGAAAAAGATAGGGGATCTCAAGTAAAGCAAAACCAATTCCTGAGTGCATGGAATAGCTTAACGAGGGGATAAAAGTTTCAAGTATGGGAAATATAGTCAGATGAAGCATCATTGGAATCAAGTTTATAATATAATAATAATAATAAACTTTATTTCTACCCCGCCACCATCTCCCCGATGGGGACTCGGAGCGGCTTACATGGGGCCAAGCCCGGACAACATAATACAGCAATAAAGTCAAAGCATACAACAACAACAACATTATCAAAATGACATTAAAAATAATAATAATAATAATAATAATAATAATAATTCCAATAGACAGTTCTAACAGTTTAGTTCTCGTCTCATGGAAGCTTTGCTTGGAAGATTCTTGTCAAAGTATTTCTTGTTCATGGTTTGGATTCTTGGATCAATGTTTCCTGTTTTCCTGAAATATTTATTTATTTATTTATTTGGGGTTCTTTTACCCCGCCCTTCTCATCCCGAAGGGGACTCAGGGCGGCTTACAAAAGCAAAGGCACAATTTGATGCCTGTATCATAAAACAATCATACACAAAATTATATGAGAGAAGTGTGGACTTTGCTTTAGGGACTTTGCTGAATTTTACCCTGGACTATTTTTGCTCCTGCTTATCTTCTTACCTAATTGAATTTACCTATTTCTTTAAAGTGTTTTTTACTTGCTGCTTTTTAATTATCTTCAATAAAGGATTGTTTTCCTATCAACGGTGTGGTGTTTACAGTCAGAGGGCTTTTCCTGTCCTGGAGTGCAACAATTCAAGGGGAGGTTAAGGGAATATAATAATTTACGAGTCTCATGGTTTGGTAGAATAGCCTTAGTAAAAATGAAAGTATTACCAAAAACAATTCTAATTGACAATTAAAAACATGTCAATTAGAATAAATAAAAATTATTATAAACTAGCCGTCCCCTGCCACGCGTTGCTGTGGCCCAGTCTATATTTTGTTTGTGTATATATTTGTGTATATGTGTGTCTGCGTATATGTATGTGATTTTGTGCATTTTGGTTGGGTTTATTTTTTGGGGGGGGGTTGCTTTTTAAATCCCTTCTGCTGTGTTTTTTAGTGTTTTTGGCCTGATAAGTGTATTGTGTCAAAATTTGGTGAGTTTGGCCAGCGTTACTAGCGGGGATAGCTAGTAGGAAGCTAACAGCTATTAGGAAGATAGCTAGGAAGTAGATAGATCCAGGTTAGAACTATCTGTGCTGGTTTAAGAATTACTGTCAGAGAAACTATCCTGTCAGTATTCTTGTGTGGAGGGAGAAATGAGAGTTTCCTGTGTAATTAAGTCAGAACTGTTTATGTAACCACACGCTTTCAAGACAAATCTCTGAAACAGCCAAGCTTAGTACCTGCGTTGTTCCTGTTCTTGTAAATAAACTTCATTGTTTATTGTTCATCACATCTGACTCAAGTGTGCCTCTGTGCTTAAAGGTTCAAAAGCAGCTTTAAGCAGAAACCAAGAGCTAAATGGTGGTAGCGTATGTTTTAAAGAACTATCTTTAAAAGGGTACCTCAGAAACACAAGCCTGAGGGTTAAAACCATCACACTCTTTACAAGATACCCCCAAGTAAGCCAAGGGCTTATCAGCACTTCCAAGTGGGTGGGTACCAGTGTGCTTTCAAAAAGGGTTTTTCGGGCTGAGAAAGGCAGTACACAAATACAGTAAATGCAGTAAATAAATAAATACTGTATATACTCAAGTATAAGCCTAGTTTTTCAGTCCTTTTTTTAGGTTGAAAAGGTCTCCCCCGGCTTATACTCGAGTCAATGTTATTTATTATTTTACTTTGTTGTTGTTATTATCATTATTATTATTACATTTATTATTTTATTATTGTTGTCATTATTACATTTATTTTACTCTATTTATTATTGTTATTCTTACATTTCTTATTTTACTATATTGTTATTATTACACTTATTATTCTACTCTATTATTACTGTTATTATTACATTCCATTATTTTACTCTATTATTATTATTATTATTTTACTCTATTTTTTAAAATAATTTTTTATTAAACAGTTTAGAACATAAATACATGGAAAGAGGGAGAATATTCCAAAAGAAGATAGAAATGTAGGAAATACAGTCAATTAAAGGAAAAAGAAGCAAAGAAAATTTACAAAAATACCAAAATACAAAAATAAAAATAAACTAAAATGACTTCCATTCCAATCTCAGGGTCTTCTTGTCTTTTGTTTCATTATTATTTACTTCTTCTTTATTTTTTCTCTTTTCTATTTTTTTCATAGTCATAAAAAAGAACCCAATCTGTCTTTTTTATAGATTTCCTGGTATTTTTTTTTAACAAATACTCTATTTATTATTATTGGAGGACATGGAATCATATTCACTTTGAAGAAGGTTAGAATAATGGTTTATTTGGAGTTGGACAGTCTTATCTTGAATTACAATTTTATGTAAATATTCAAAATCTGATGCCTAAATTAATATAATTTTATTGGTATCAATTTTTATTTTGAAATGGACCCATAAATGCTGCATTTCCCACCCTCGGATTATACTCGAGTGAATACATTTTCCCAGTTTTTTGTGTAAAATTAGGTGCCTCGGCTTATATTCGGGTCGGCTTATACTCGAGTATATACGGGGTAAATATTTTTTTCTCAAATAAAAAATTATTAAATTATGAAACAAAACAAAACAAAACAAAAACAACATCAAGGGCAGGATTACCTGTTAAGGAAGCATCAAAACCCATGTCCTCAATGGCGTTTCGTAAGTCATCCGGGGAAGTCTGCGCGGGGTCATACTCGATGGTTGCATTACGGTTCTGTAGCGACACACGGATTGACTTCACCCCTGGCTTTTGAGAAATCACTCCCTCAATAGACTGGACGCAAGACTGGCAAGTCATTCCCTCTACATCCATCACAGTGACGTGCATCAAGGGGTGATGCGCAGGACTGTTGGCGACCCTTGGAGACTTCACCGGAGACTTCGGGACCTCGGTGTTTTCATGTCCATCGCAAAGGCTGACCGTGAAGGTCTCGGGGGACACAGCTTCTATGGCTCTTCTCAGTGTGTTGATACTGATGAGGCTGGGGTTGTACTTTACGGTGGCCGATCTGTCCTCTAACGAAACGTCAATGCTGGCCACGGCAGGGAGCGTCGAGAGGCTGGACTGAATATTGAAGACGCACGATTTGCAGTGCATGCCGTCCACCCGGAACCTGGCGGTCTGAAGGTTGAGACCATCCTTCGGACTCAACGGTGGGGATGTCGGTGAGCTTTTGGCCTGCGCGTTCTTCAGCCGCTCCACATCGATAGCGCCGAGGTTGAGGAGTTTGGGCGGCTTCTTTATGGAGGCCAGGAAACCTGCCGCTTCGATTTGGTTTTTGATTTCCTCGGCCGTGATGATGTGAGGCTGGTACACAACCACCGCTTCCTGATTGTCCAGGGAGACTAGAGGGAAAACGGGGAAAGACTTACTGTAAGACTGTAGGTTTTATATAGCAATATTAAATGATCACTCACAAGCCGGTTTTGCTTGGAAATGAATATATTGCTTGTATCTCTGCAGCAAAGGAAGACACTAGTGACTTTTTCCCACCACTACTTCCTTTTATGCACCTTTACTGCCCATCTCCCCTCTTCTCAGTTTCCTTATTAGAGTTTGTTGCTTCACAAGTTCCAATACAAGGTTTCCAGCACCTTCTGCTGGCTTCAAAATGTCACAGAGAGAAAACTGAGGCAGCCAGGATGATTCAGTCAGGATGTCACGGAGGGAATTTGTGATGTCTTCATTGACTCCTGACACTTATTATGTTTCTCCCGTGATGTTCAATTGAAAATCTATATATATAAAATGCTCTGTGCATAATGAGTACCTTAAAAACAAAAGAACCAATGAACGAAATCACACAAATCTGGCAACAAAACGTCTCACAACACAAGGAGTGACCATCACTCAAAAAAATGATTTTGTCATTTGGGAGTTGTAGTTGCTGGGATTTATAGTTCACCTATAATCAAAGAGCATTCTGAACTCCACCACTGATGGAATTGGACCAAACTTGGCACACAGGCCTCCCATGACCAACAGAAAATACTAGCAGCATTTGGTGGGCATTGACCTTGAGTTTCAGAGTTGTAGTTCACCTAGATCCAAAGAGCACTGTGGACTCAAACAATGATGGATCTGGACCAAACTTATCATGAATATTCCATATACCCAAATATGAACACAAATGGAGTTTGGGGGAAATAGACCTTGGCATTTGGGAGTTGTAGTTACTGGGATTTATAGTTCACCTACAATCAAAGAGCATTCTGAACTCCACCAATGATGGAATTGAACTAAACATGGCATACAGGACTTCCATGACCAACAGAACACACTGGAAGGGTTTGGTGGGCATTGACCTTGAGTTTGGGAGTTGTAGTTCACCTACATCCAGAGAGCACTGTGGACTCAAACAATGATGGATCTGGACCAAACTTGGCACGAATACTCACTATGCCCAAATATGAACCCAGATGGAGTTTGGGGAAAATAGACCTTGACATTTGGGAGTTGTAGTTACTGGGATTTATAGTTCACCTATAATCAAAGAGCATTCTGAACCCCACCAACGACAGAATGGGGGCAAACTTCCCACACAGAACCCCCATGACCAACAGAAAATACTTAAGGCCATCCAGTCCAACTCCCTTCACCAGGGCAAGAAAACATAATCAAAGCCCTCCTGACAAAGAGCCATCCAGCCATAGATATAGATAGATATATATGATTCACACACACACAGATAAAGTATTATAGATTTGAAAGGGACCCTAAAGATGGACAATTATATGTTGCATGTTCCAGAGTAGGCAAACCAGACAATCTCTACGTCAACACTGACAAAGAAACATCAAGAAATACTGTTTACTCACAAGCATAAAGATATTACATATATTAGAAACCAACACTTTCTCATTACTTTATTTTCCAGATCACCAGACTGGGCCACAGCAACGCCTGGCAGGGGACCACTAGTGTTTTATAAATAATAATAATAATAATAATAATAATAATAATAATAATACTTTATTTATACATGAACAGAGGAGGTATCTATTTGGAGGGCTTTAAATCAAAAATAATTTAAATGGAAATTATTATTATTATTATTATTATTATTATTATTATTGGATTGCTGTAGGTTTTTTTGGGCTATATCAGGAGAGGCATTCTCTCCTGATGTTTCACCTGCATCTATGGCAAGCATCCTCAGAGGTAGTGAGGTCTATTGGAACTAGGAATATTGGGTTTATATATCTGTGGAATGACTAGGGTGGGACAAAGAACTCTTGTCTGTTGGAGCTAGGTGTGAATGTTTCAACTGACCATCTTGATTAGCATTTGATTACCTGGCAGTTGTTTGGTGTGGCTTGTTAGTGCCTGGGGCAATCTTTTGTTGAGAGGTGATTAGATGTTGTAGTGAAATTGCTACTCTGTGTTAAAGTTTTGGTATATAGCTCTATGTTTACATATGGCAGATAGGGAAGAATAGGCACAGACAGGGTAGCAACAGCAGAGATAGGATTCATTTGCATATGTGAAGCCGATTGGTCATATGCAGATTAGTGTAGGCCCAGGATTTGAAAAGGCTGCTAGGCCAAAATGACAGTTGGGGAGAGCAGAGGTGAACATTCCAAAAGGGCAAAGCCAAGGTTCTAAAAGAGGCAGTTAGAGTGAGAGAGTTTGAAAATGACAGTTAAGAATCTGTGTGTGAAGAGGAGAGTTGGTTTTTGAGTGCCTGATAGTGCCTGATGTGTTAAAGACTTCTGATATAGAGAAGCAGTTAGTTAAATAGAGCTCGAGTTTTAAGGAACATAAAGAAGGCTGGTGTTGCCTTAGTTCAGAATATAATTCAGCCAAGAGTGTGTAAAGCAAGTAACATGTTTGTGAATATGAAACATTGATAGTTTATTCAGAAAAGTTAACCAAGTAAATGATACTGACTGTAAACCTCAAGATTGCAACAAAACACAAATGTAACCACAAGCGTTGGAGCCAGAAGTTATAAATAAACTGTGTTACTTAGTTATACACAAGAGTGTTTCATTGCCTGTGATATAAAGTACAAAGGTTTAACAGCACACAGAAAGTCCCAGCCAATATAAAAGAAGAAACTGAATCAGTATAAGGCATCAAAGAGGTTTTTAAAGAGGAAATAGTCTCTCTCCCTCGCCACAGATGTCTCTGATTGTTTCCTCTCTTGTTTTGCTGTTGTGATTTTAGAGATTTTTAATACTGGTAGCCAGATTTTGTTCATTTTCATGGTTTCCTCCTTTCTGTGGAAATTGCCTTAGGCACTAAAAAGCCACACCAAACAACTGCCAGGCCATCAAATGTTGTGTCCAAATTTGGTGTCAATTCGTCCAATGGTTTTTGAGTTCTGTTAATCCCACAAACGAACATTACATTTTTATTTATATATATATATATTTTTTATTACGCAAGCCTCTATTGTGCTGGGGAACAAACGGCAGTGCATAAAGGCATGCAAATAAATTCCCATTCATTACCTTTGACTCGCGTGACACCTTGCAGTTTCCCGATTTTCCCTTCAATGGTACTGGTACAGGAGTGGCAGGTCATTCCCTCCACTTTGAGCCTCAGCGCGACATCTCCCATTTGGGACACGTTCGCATCTTCGGGGGCTCTCTCTCGGGCCGCATAGTCCAAACTCAGCCCCGGCACGATTTGGCCGACCTGCTTCCCGTTGATGACAGCGGACACAAAAGTGACCACCAGGGATTTCTTATCGGAGGAGCTTTTCACGTCCAAGACGCCCTCAGTCTGCAAGAGGCGGCTGCGGATTTCGTCGAGGGCGGAAGCGGCCTGAGCGGGAATGGCGAGGAACATGGTGTCCACTGGGACAGGTTGTGGGTCTGCGGCTGTAGGTGCAGCAACAAACCCCATGTCCTCTATGGCTTCCCGTAGGGCTTCTGGAGTTTGTTCTTTGGGGTTATAAATAATGGCCGCACTCTTGTCTCGAAGAGAAACCTGGCAGGAAGAGGAACGCACACACAAACTTCAGACAACTAGGCCTAAGTAAGATTAACAATTTCTTTAAAGAGATCAAGAAGCGTTGTCTTATTACAGTGACACCTTGCTTCGTGTTTTCATTCGCCTAAGAAGGAAGTGTAAGCTGATATGCCTATGGAACCATAAATTAACCTGGATTTACCTGTAAAAGAAGATTGGCTGGCCTGTTGGCTTAAGGGAACATTCCACATGCAAAGATTATACTAATCTCCAAGCTTTATGCAAACTGGCAAATACAGAATACAGAGTTACGCTTAGTGCTTTGAGAGAATCCAAGCCAATCCAGCTTGCTAGGAAGTATTTGTTGGAGTTCAGCCTGTGATTGTGTCTAATGATCTGGATATTGGGAATGACCATGAGCTTCATGTATCTAATAATGAGGTTGTTCTATGCACAGATTGACAATGGGATTCCTGTTCAAAGTGTCTTTTCTGATGAGAATGTTCCTGAAACTACGCACCCCGAAACTACGGATGATCTCCCCCAGCGGCTTCATGTAGATGTTAAACAACATGGGGGACAGTATAGAGCCCTGCGGGACCCCACAAGACAATGGTTGTGGGGTCGAGCAGTTGTCCCCCAACAACAACTTCTGAGTGCGATCCTCTAGGAAGGACCCAAGCCACTGCAAAACAGTGCCACCAAGGCCCATTCCCTCGAGGCGTCCCAGAAGGGTCGACGGTATCGAAGGCTATTGAGAGGTCCAGCAGAACCAACAGAGACACACTCCCCCGTCTAGCTCCCGGCGAAGATCATCAACTAAGGCGACCAAGGCTGTCTCGGTACCAGACTGTGCCAGATCTAGATAATCCGTGTCTTCCAAGAATACCTGGAGTTGTGAAGCCACCACACATTCCAGAACTTTGCCCAAGAAGGGGAGATTGGAAACAGGCCGATAGTTAACGAATTGAGTGGGGTCCAGTGATGGTTTTTTCAACAGTGGTTTTATTATAGCTTGTTTTAAGCTCACCGGAATACTGCCTTCCTGAAGGGAGGCATTAACCACCACCTTCACCCACTCGGCCAATCCCCCTCTGGCCTCCTTTAGAAGCCAGGATGGGCAGGGGTCTAGGATGCATGTGGTTACCCTCCGAGTATCTTGTCCACATCCTTAGGTTTCACCAACTGAACTGAATCCATCAAAATAGGACAAGCAGGTGCTCTTGTTACATCCTTAGAGACTGCCGCTAACATGGTGTCCAGTCCAGAACGGATCAAAGCGACTTTGTCCGCAAAGAACCGAGAAAATGTTTCACAGCGGGCCGTCGAGTTGTCAGGGTTCCCATCCGGAACAGTGGGATTTAATTGACGACTCGAAACAGCTCAGCCGGTCAGTTCTTCATAGGGCTTGTTCTCCAGACCCTTTATCATTTTAGTTGCCCTCTTCTGGACACATTCCAGCTTGTCAACATCTCCCTTCAACTGTGGTGCCCAGAATTGGACACAATATTCCAGGTATGATATAACCAAGGCAGAATAGAGCATGGGGAGCATGACTTCCCTGGATCTAGACACTATACTCCTCTTGATGCAGGCCAAAATCCCACTGGCTTTTTTTGCCACTGCATCACATTGTTGGCTCATGTTTAACTTGTTGTCCACGAGGACTCCACGATATTTTTTACATGTCCTGCTCTCGAGCCACGCGTCCCCCATTCTGTATCTGTTGGGGTTCAGCCTGTGTGTGAACTTGAACTTGACTCTCTCATTGTATTTCCTGATGCCCATGTGAATTCTGAGGCCAATTTAGATGAGGATGGTTTGAGTAGTGAAAATTCCAAAGCACTGGAAAGTTAAAGTCAAGATTCCCCTGAGAACATACATTCCGAACCAAGCAGAGACGGTTCACTCCCTTTTCCTCCCAGTTTTAGCTCTCCAGAGAATCAGGCACCTGGCCTCCTTAATGAGGATAGGTGGGGGCAGATTTGGCAGAGTCGGGGAGAAGCTCAATGTTTACACAGGACAGCCAGATTGAAAGAAATCCAAACAAAATCTTCAGGTGTGTCTCGTAATAGATTTCTTGGCCTTAAATATGCCTGGGATGAATACAGCTTCAGACCAGGCATCGTTCCACATTCATGTGCCAGCGTTTGCAGGTCTCCTGATTCAAGTGGCCTTGTTCCTCGGAGGCTTTCTAGTTTTGCTAAGTACGGTTAGTGGATTGCTAACAGATTCTAGGATTCAGCAGTTTTGCTGTGGGTTTCATGATCTTGTTTATGGACATTTCTTGTTGCTGATTTTTATGGTGGCTTTTTACTTTGCATTTTTTCCTCTATTTTGTATTCATCTTTCATCAATAAAAAAGGATTGTTTTCCTGAAGCCAAGTGTGGTGAATTGTTGTCTGAGGGTCCAGTTTCCTGCTCTGGGTCGCAACAGTATCTTTGCATGAACTTTGATGGACTAATTTCCCGGACTACTTGTTTCTACTTATTTTTCTACCTAATTGGATTTACCTATTTTTATGGAGTGTTTTTTTTATTGCTACTGCTTTTTAAATATCTTCAATAAACTGCTTGCAATTTTACTCAGCTGTGTGGTGTTTAAAGTCTTCCTAGCTTGGAGTGGAACAGTATTTTGAAGCGTGACAGGAAAAAAAAAACTCAATTTCCCAACCAAGAGAATACTGGAAGAGGCCAGAAACAGAAGCGTCCCATCTGAACCCAAAACAGCCTCTGCTCTTGTTATCAAACCTGCTAATGTCATTTGCTTCCCAATAAGAGAGGACCAAATGCTTGAAATCCAATTTCCTTCCCACAGGCACGACTCTTGTCCTGCCATTTCGATTTTTAAAAGGGTAAACTGACGCCACCAAAAGGCCCATTGATTTAGCTTCGAGGTTGAAATTGTCCTTAGGCAAAGCACAACCAGGAAGCCATTGTTGTGATCTAATTACACAAACGTAACCTATTTAAGCATCTCTGTTCTGCCTTTGGCTAGGGCTATGCTTATTGGTTTACCTGCAATTCTACACAGGATGACCAAAAAGACAGGCTTTCTTACATGACATTAAGAGGACAGATCTTCTCCCCCACCCTGCTTCCGCTTTACAACTGGGCCATTGACACTTATTCCATCTTCAAACACGTGTTGTATGTCTGCCTGTTCAGCCTGTGATTGTGTTTGATGTTCATTACAGGAATGGGGATGATGTTCCTGATGGTGGGCCTGGGCCTGTTGGCAATGGGAATGCGGGTTTGCCTGGGCCTGAGTGAAGCTCAGAGGAAATGCCCGAGCAGTCTCAGGAAGATACACAAGGCCACATTCCTGGGAGAGGCCCTTCACAGTCTTTCTCAGAGCAACTACCAAACAACTACCGTCCGGTCAGCCTCACGTCGATACCAGGCAAGATTCTGGAAAAGATTGTGAAGGAAGTG